CCTTTGAAGACAAATCAAGTTTTCCATGTCTATTTGATAGCACAGGCTGCTCTCACTTTCTGTACACAACCTTTGCCTTAAGCTCTGTCAAGTGCCTTGTGGTCTGGAAATCATGTTTTCTTGGCAGCACTCTGTAGAAGCTTCCAAAAAGCATTAGCTGTCTTAAAGGGCTGTGGTGTGCATCTGTTCATTACTCCCCCTCCTTTTCTCCCTGTAAAATATAACTATTATTTTGTAAGACATCAACTTCTTTTTCCCAAGAAGCATCAGGTAACAGAATGAAATAACTGTCCATTTGGCTGAATTTTGCCTGAATACCCACTTCAAGCTAAGAGCCTCATGCACACACATGCACTTCCTCCTTTAAAAACTAACACTACAAAATGAGCAGAGAGGAGAATCTTTTGTGTGCTATTCCCGATGAAGCTATGTAAAGCTATTCTTACCATCCAGTCTGTGAGACCTAAGCTAGTGGGTTGTTTTCCCTTTATTTCTTTGGAGAAATGAAGAAAGTAAGGTCTAAGAACACATAAGTTTTTGAAACATTGAGGCTTAACTGTTCTTAACGTAGAATTCCTTTTTTTTGACTATTTTCTGCCTTTCCAAGCAAAGCTTTAATATGTCTTAAGTGTTTCTTAGATGACATTTTCAGTAACGTGTCATATTTCCAGTATATGTCAGATGATTCAAAAGATATACCTAGTGGTAAATCAGAGGGGTGTTCGTGTGTGTGTGTTGTTTTAAATTCAGTACCAAGCACAAAGAATTAAGTTTGTTAAAAATATCTAGTTAAAACCTTCAAACCTTTAGTTAAAGCTTTCAACTTATTTCCTTAATATGTATTAAGTACCTATTCTGTTAATTTTATCCAAAGCTTTTTGACCAGAGCTTTAGTGTTTGTTTTAACCTTTCGATTGGGAATACCATATATCATGTTAAATTTGCTGATTCACCTCTAATATCTTAAATCTAAAAATCTTATTTTTTTCCTCCCTTTCCTTTCCTTTAATCATTAGATTGACCCCAACCCAGATCAGCCCACAGATGACAGACCATCCTGCCCCTCTCGCTGAAGGAATCCATGCTAAGCTGACTCGACTTGGGTTTTGAATCGTGCATACCGTGTTGAAGATCGAGGCGTCGTAGTGGAGACCCACTTTCCAAGGAAAGTGGTGGTGTTCTCGCCTAGATGGTGAACAAATGAAAAAAACCTGTGATCATGCTTAGAAGCCTACAGCAACATCATAGGACTGCTCCACATGCTTGAAGATCTGAGCTTTTTTCCCCCCCTTAAATACTGGCACATACTAGGAGCAGCCTTACTAGCCTGCTAGTCATGTGTGTCAAACACTCGCCACGTTGTAAGAGAGGGATGGCTTCCTGTAATGATTTGAAAATTTGCACATGCTCATCGCTTATGTTGTGGGGTTCAGTGTCACTACAGCTTTTTCTCATTTATGCCTGACTTGTTACCCCCTCTTACTTGTTCGCGGCCCGCACAACAAGGAGCAAAAGAGAGCTTTGACGGAAAACAACGGCGACAAAGACTTAACAAATGCACTGACTTCTCCTTTGGGTGTGTGTGGGTGTGTGTGTGTGTGTGTTTAATTTAATGTAGCCTGGACTTTACCTGCATATGCACATGCTCAGAATTGTCCTAATAGGCTGATCATGTATCACCTTTTCAGCTTGGATCCTCTTGTGGATTTATTTACAAACATCAAATGCCTTCAAGCCAATCCTTCTTGCTGTATGTTTTGCAGCCTACTGTAGTAGATAAGCAACAGATATGTGGGGGTGGGGATAGGAGGAGGAGGGCGATACCAGATGGAAACTAATATGAGACTCTGTCAGGATTGTATACCTTCTTCATTTCTTTTAAAAATTTGTTGCCTTTCTACTATTATCGCAAAGCAGCATTTTGTTACAGACTGCCTAACAATCACTTAATCTCAGGTGAACTCATCACTTGCCAAACTGTTGGAATGCTATTTGTTTTGTTATGTTGCACTGTTGAGTTACTTTTTTTTTGTTTTGTTTTGTGTTTGTGTTCTGTTCTTTACTTGAGTGGGGGATTTGGAAGAGGGACATACACAAAAGTTACAAAACCCACCTGCATTCCCTTCTAAACTTTTATTACGAAAAAGAGATGGTCAAGTTGTGAAGCTTTAAAAAATAATAAAGGCACAAGTGAAAGCAGCACCAGCAGCCACTGGCTAAGAGTTAAAAGAATTTTTGAAAGGACATAGTCCTATACTGTCCAGGATTCATGGGCAGAGAGATTTCTCAATGAGTAGGGATGGGAAGGGAAAGTAAATTTATTTTTTTACATAGTTACCTAATCACCAAAAAATCTATACCTTTATATAGGAGTCTCTAGTAGAAAGTATATTTCAGACAAGAAGAGCTTCAACTATGGTAAAAGACAGCTCAGTTTGTGCACTTTGTATTATCTTCAGGGTTTACGATACTGTAAAAATATTATGACTAGAACTATAATGAGACTGGGCCAGGCTATCAGTGTTACTGGCTGTACTCTGCTATTAGCAGAAAAGGACTTGACAGTTGCATCTACTGGTGTACTTTTCACGAGGTGTAAAACAAGACCCCAGCAGCTTCAAAGATGTGCTCCTTCAGGATGCAAGAAACAGAATACAAGAAGTACTTGCTCCCTGAGTTCAACCAAGGTGGGCATCAAGAAAGAGGAAGGGTGCAGTGCAGCCCTTAGATCCAGTAACAGGGATGCTAGCCCCTCATGTGCTAGGGCCTCAGGAAAGTTAACTTTCTTCTCCCGAACTCGCATAACTGAGACTATTCGCAAAGGGACGTGCTTCTGGTGGCGGTTGCTTCAACCGAGAGCCGATGCATCGCGTATCTCCTCGTGCAATAAAACAGCTCAGAAGGGAATGGGGAGAGGGAAAGCTGGTGTTTTCTGCATGGTGCTTATTTTTACAAAAACTGCCTTGTTTTTAAGGCTTCATAAAATGACATGATGGGCTTTTCCATAAGTGGCCTTTATTAGAACATGAAAGATACTTCATGTTTCAAAAATGACGACAGGGTGAAAAAGTATAAATATGAGTCGCGTTTTAAGTGACTCAGGAGGTTTTGGCTTTGATAAGCAAAAATACTGGAGAAAAAGGCAATTGGGTGATGTCCTACCTTATGAGGCCATTTTGTGAATGTCCCTTTCCTATACCCTCTCCATCCAGATGAGAAAATAAAAAAGCTGATGGGATCTTTGGCATAAAAGGGCATTTGGTGGTTTTACTACTTTTTATTTTTCCTCGTTTTAACAGACTAGGGAGCAATTACTGATATGCATAGCATTAAAGTACTTATCACAGTATAATGGAAGAATGCATATGAAGCAGGATTGACCAATATCGTAGCAATTGGCGTCGCATCACAGCCTTTGTGGTCACATTGAAAAGTTCTGAAACTTTATCAAACAGAGACTTTCTGTGTAAACTCTTCTGTTAGTTTGTTAGAGGCATTACTATTCTTCCACAAATACTGGTCAATTCTCAGCATTACAAAACATGAGGTTCACAGTTGTAGCCCAGTATTTGATAGAGAATCCTGATCTGAATTAGGGAAAAAATAAGTAAAATCCAAACATTAGAGAAACAAAGTGCAATATTAAATGTTTGCTTTATAGATTATATTCTATGGCTGTTTGTACTTCTCTTTCCTTTTTTTGTTTTGGTGCTGAATATGTCCTTGTAGACTCTGTTTCAAGAAAACAATATGTGGAAAACAATTTTTCCTATTGCTCTTCCTTGTGGAAAATAAACTTTTTTTTTTAAAGAAAAAGCCTTTAAACACTTTCAGTGTAAGCCATAAAATTTACACCACACACATTTTTATTTACTGTGTGATTGTGCATTAAATATAGGTCGTGAGGATCACATTACTGCAGGAATACACACTAAGCACGTACCGAATGGCAGTGACAGAACTATTTCTGGAACGATCTCCCGAATGGAAGTGCCGCAGTTGAGTTTCATCATCATCCTCGGTTCCTTTTTCGTATTTATGTTGAAGGCTGTTGAGGACATAGTGTTTCCATCAGCACTGCAGCCGTGGCGACCTGCTCGAGTTGCTGAGTACTACCCAGGAGAAGTGGTTCAAGGAGGAGAGGGGCTTCATTGGAGTAGGGGTGGGAGGAAACGGGGTATTTTGAAGGCCAGGCTTGGCAGCGAGGCCGCAAAGGCTCGTTTGGTGACACGAGGAGCCCTGACCATTCCCGTGGCTGCCCAGCGGTACCAGATGCGCGGAGCTATTAATAGAGCTCCAGCGCGTGCCAGCTCCGCGGCATCCTGCTTCCGCATGCCGCGCACAGCTGAGCCTCCGACAAAAAGGATCAGAG